AACAAATATATGCGACGCTGACCTAAAATGTTCAATTTTTCTTATCTTCTATATTTCATAAGAATAGACTGGTTTATGATTTTTCTTGTAGAAAAAGTTATGCACGTAAACTGAGAAATGCTGGTTTAGAGCAATCCAACAAGCCTGGTGCAGATCGATGTGCGTCTAAAAAAGTCTGAACAATTTAAAAAATTCAGCAAAGATCTTTATGTTTGACAAGCAAGGTCGCTTGCTTAAAATCTGACCGATATAGTAAATGGGATTTTCTAGCGAAAAGATACACTCCACGAATTTTCCTTACTTATCTAACAATTCTTTTTAAGTACTCATATAACATCGCTCTATCAAACTTACAGTTTTAAATTGCTTTATAAACACACCAAAATACCAGGCACTTCAAACCTATCTGAAGTTATTTATATGGTCGTGCAACGCTAGCATTTTCATTTCGCGTGCAAATGCAATTTTGACTAGGGGTATTAATTTGATTATTCACAAATTTAAGGGAGATACATGTCTTTGAAATGCATGTATAAACTGGCTACCTAAAAAGCACTGTCATTTTAAGTTTGTAGCCTTAATTTAATTTAATTCAACTGCCTAGATTTTACTTTGAGCATTTTAAATTCTTGGCAAAAACAGCTAGCCGTACAGAAGTTGAAGAGAGAGCTGTAGTTTTGTAATGGAGTATTATTCGCCGTCGCACTTCCTTGTTTGCGGAGTAAAATTTCAAAGTTTGGCAAAAAATCTGAAAATCCAGCTTGAAAACAACAGAAACTGCATTTTCTTTTGCAATTCAAACCTTTTTACTTGCAAGCATTTGGCCAAGCACTCACAAACAATCCTATTCTACAATTATGCTCCGGACAATATTACCAAACAACACACTAGGGTCTCCTCTAGCGTCACTTCCTCAACTCTTCTTAAAGCGTAATGCATGGATCCCGCTAAACTACGGATTCTGATACGCAGCATAAAGTAAGTTGAAAACCAACCCCCTGAATGCTGATTTTCCTAGGATCCCCGGGGAATACTTGTTTTTATAATCTGAGGTCAAACTGTTTTGTAAGTAACGAGTATATAATTATATCTGCCGTCAAAAATTGACGTAAGGAAGTGATGCCAGAGTATAAGTCTACAGGTACAATAGATTTAATATGTAAAAATGAAAAAAAAATCTAAAATTTTACAGTAAAAACGCATGAAAACTGCAACCACTAATCTATGTAAAATCCAAAATCAAGGGCCTACAAGTAGAAAATATCCTAATTTTTAAGATAATTTAGGAAATCACAGATGTAAGTGAGATGAGCTTTAAATCAATGACACAAAACTCTAGGAAGCATTCAAATTAAAATGTCTTGCCTAATTAACAAAGCTATTACAATATCAAAACAATTGGAAAACATTCTTTAAGATAAATTTGAATAAATCCAACTCTAGGTATCATCACTAATGATAAAAATTTCAATAACACGCAAATAAAAAAGTAGAAACAGTATATACAACTTATAAATCTAACTCATGTATATTTGCGATAGCTGCAAGCCAGCAGTGAATAGGTGCAAAAACATTAAACAAATGTAAATTATGGTTAAAAAGCTGCAAACAAAAGTAACACAAACCAACTGCAATGGGACTGGAATACTATCATTCCTTGTCTATTCCTTTAATAATTCCACTCTCATTCAAAGCAGTACTCTATTATTTATAAAATATATATTATCAATAATATGTATTTTATATACAGATTTCATTGCCATCACAAACATATTCATCTTCACTTAAAAATAACACTAAGCTCTGACAGTATCACTGACATTCTTGAATGTGCCGATACAGTACACTTTTGATCAGATTAGATCATTTATGCAAATGGACGCATATCTTTGTCTGGCTATACATGTAATATTCTGACAAAAGTGAACTGCTATTACAATTCAAAACACTGTACCCAGACAGAGGTTTTCTAGGTTAATCAGTTGCAATCTGTAAAAATCATTTCTGTAATCAAGATAACTAAACTAATGCTGGTTTTTGTTATATCTTACACAAGAGAAAATTTTCAATTTAACATATCTAATGCATAAAATTCTTATCAGTAACACAATACTCTTTGTTCTTAGAAAAACAATCAAATCCCATGCCTGTCTGCATTGCTCTTGTTCAGTTGATATTGAACATCGCCTTTCTCAGCATAAAGTTGGGCATGAAGCTAAAATTAAGCTCACCAAATAGATTTATCAATGTCAACACCTTTTTCTCATCCATGCCTTATGCTAATTCACAATTACCTGCATAAAAATATGCTTCAGATTAGATAAATATATATTCATGTCTTAATAAAGGGAATGCAATTATTAAGGACTTAATAAATGGAATGCATTGAGTTCGCATATAAACATTATCAATTTATCTTTTCACCACACCTGTGACAGCTGAGCGACAAGGACTGGTTTTTCATCATCTAAAATGTTAAAAGCCTTCAATTATTTATTGAATCTTTCCTCGCATTCTATCATAAATGAAAAGTGCCAGTCCACACGTCACTTTTGTGCATTGGCTTCCTTCACTGGGACTATCATGGATACTTGGCATGTGCAGCCCTCTAGTGGGCATTAACGACACAACAGAAATCCATCCACAAGTATCTCAAGTTGTGTATGTATTCCCCCAAATGCACAGTCGACATATTTGAAATCTTCCCAACTGTCAACCTCTTTACAAGATTATTGCATTTTCAACAGCTATTAGTACAATGAAAAATATCAAATTTCATAATCATGACATATTCTAGTGCTTCAATACATTCTGCTTTTTTCTGTAATGGATGTATTACCTTTACACTGTAATATATACCAGTATACTATTTGACTTAATAACAGGTTTTAATGGAACAGCAAAAGCTTCAAAATTGATACATATATATATATATATCCAAAAAGAGATATAAATCAATAAACATGATAAAAAAACACATACCCCTCAATAAAGAAAACAACAACAAACCACCCCAACTCCAACCAAAGCCACTTTCGGAAACATGAAATGTGTCTGAGAGGTAAATGTACTTTCCAATACTCCTGGAATGTGTCTCAGTTGTGAAGGTAAAAACATCAACTTACTGCCAACTGTGAAATATACTTCAAGGGCACTTACTAAAAACAAAATATTTAAAAAAATGTTTTCAACATTTGTGTTGAAATGGTAACATGTGTCTTTATAAAATGACTTCAATTAAAGGTCTACATAAAAGGACTAAAAAATACATCTATTAAGTGATATTTCTTTAAAGCCTAAAAATCAAACATTGGTTCCATTGGGTAGTGCCAGTCCAAGTTAAATTAACATTTATTATAACCTCTACCTGAGAGGGATTAAGTATACAGAAAACATTGCAGAATCATAAAACAGCCCAAAGACAAATGTTTGTAATGTGGTGATCTTTCAAAGACGCCATTCAGCTTAATAAAATAAATACACCCAAAATGGATTGATCAGTTTGCTCATTTAGTGGCCAAATCTCAAACATGACTTAGCCAAAAAGAAAAATTAAGGATGTGAATATTTCTACAGCAGAAATAATGTCACAAGTATTACAAGAATGTACCTTGTGTCTACCCAGCATCAAACCTACATGTACCTGGATTTAAAACAAGTCTTCCTAACAAAAACTTGTCTACCTGACAAAAACTTGTCTACCTCATATCATTTCATCTTCAAGTGCCCAAATTTCCTTTTTTTGGCCTGCCCCTACTGTCACTATATTAACTACAGGGTGACAAGAGGTTCAATATGGATTTTGTTTAACGTTTCAGTCTGAGGTATCTGTTATAGTTACATCAGGTGAGACAGGTGTTCCCAGGAGAGAGAACTGGCTGTCACAGTAGAACACAGAATCTCAATCAGCTGATTAATTGGTAACAGATGGCAGGTGAAGTACACAAGGACTCTGATAACTTGATCACTATACGGTAATCTCTCCATAAATTTGAACAAAATTAATTACCAACACTTTCCCCACACAAAACGGAATGAAATTTTGCTTGTCTAAAAGGAGCGATTTCTGGTCTGGGTTAATTCTGAGTAGCTAAATATAATCAGTCTTGAAGTGATTGGAATACTTGTTGAAATAAGTGAATCAAATGCTAAAAATTTAGGACTGATTACAGTAATCTGAAACAGCAATATGTCATGTCTGACAAGAACCAAGGCCATATATGTGATAAATTCTGAGTAGTGTGGGATGAAGATCATGTCACATTCCTAGCAGATGAGGATTTATAATCAGCACATCTGAGCTATTAAATGTGTCACCTTGATGGGCCGGCCCAGTCTTGGTTAAAGTGCCCACGTAACAACTGTTTTGTACTAAGTCAAAGAACTATTGTCTGTGTAAAAGTGTATGGATTTTAGAGGCAATGCTGTCTGGAATGCTCTGTTTCAATGAGCAACAGTTGCTCAAGCCATTGTAGGACTCGTAAAACATTGCTAAGGAAATTGTCTTAATTATTTTTCTATAATCTTCATACTAGCTTTCTGCAGAATATTTCGCCAGTTCATAGTTATTGCAAAATGTACCTGTGCTAAATAAATAAATAAATAAATAAATAAATAAATAAATAAATTATACAAGTCAAGTAGGACAAGTGAATCTGAAGAAGATAGTCTGTCTGCTCTCACAGAAAAACATAATTCTTCAAATCTGTTATCTAAAATTTAAATTAGATAATCCGGATGGCCAGATTAGATTTTTCAAATCTATAACTTGGAGTTTGTGCTGCCAACAATATGATTAAATATAAAAATATGAATTATCAGATAAATATGACTGTGGATCTACATACTGTATGGGTATGAGAGGACTAAGGGTTCATTAGGAACAGAAGATCCAAGGATGAACTGATCCACGGATCAAATATGGCCGACCCTACATGACAGAAGCATCGATTTATCCGCTGATGGTCTCCCTGCCTCCACACAAGCCATTAAACGGATTAAATCAAGGCTCCAGGGTTTAATTGCTAGACTCCTGCAAGGACAGCACTTGTGGAAGCAGTAAGACCATCAGCGGATTCTTTCATGTAGGGTCTGCCCTATTTGATCAATGGATCAGAAGATCCTCGGATTTTTTATTCTGAATGGCCTCAAATATGCTGCATGACCAGGTACATGTTAAAAACATGCATGGCTATTACTGACTAGTAATATCATTACAAAATTATACTGTAACTTACTACTGTTGATTGTAGAAGACAACTATAATGCTTATAGCTAACATGCATATAGGTTTGGGGTTTGACCAAAATACTTCTATTCTTGCAAAATCCCTGGTTGCACAAAATGTAGCAAGTACAATGCATCACAAAATAATGAAACAGTAAAAAACAATTCTACATAATAACTTCATGAAATTTTTTTAATAAAAAAATTCTACTAAATCTTTTTTAATTTGGGTTCAAACTGAAATGAGTGGACATCTTCTTCAGATGCTGGATGGTTCTTATCACAGCTTCCGACCACGTGCATTCGTCAAACGTAATTCCCAGCTCTTTGCAGACATGTTTCACGTGTTTGTTGGCCTTGCGATAATTGTGTCTGGGCATCAAGGGAAAGAGATGATGCTCGATGTGGAAGTTGAGACCGCCATGAAACCAGTCCATCCAAACAGGATTGACGATGTTGATGTTGGAGATCACTTGCATGCGGTACCAGTTTTGTGTTGTACATATGTCATTTTCGAGGTAAAATGGTTTGCAATAGTGACTTATAAGCAGTTGGATGTGGAGGACGCCTTCGAAAATAGCTGCCATGCTGTAAAACACAAGGCATTCATACCATGAAGGTAGAAACGAGAGCAATAGACATATCCATGTCCAGTGGATCACAAAAGCCACCCATTCCCTCACGTTTTTCTCTTCGCGGAAACTGTCCAGAATGATAGCCACGCGGCCAAACAAAATGCACGTGGGTAAGAAAGTGATGTGCTGGACTTTGATTGCATAGTATTCGAAGAGGCTGTTGTGTAATGGGAAAAGGCGTTCATTTTGAGCAAATATCGCCTCGTGAGCCTGAGGGTCACTCCATTTGGTCTCTGGGTTGACTGTATTGGTCAGTGCGTGGTGGCTAAAGTGCTCCTCTCGCCACCAGCTCCCCGACACCCCAAGACACACGGTACCGAAGAAAGTTCCAAGCCAGCGGTCAATCTTGGCCTTATGGAAACCCTGGGTATGCATAAAATCGTGCATGAAAAATCCACACTGATGCCAAAAAGAGGCAAGAAAAAAGGCCCCTAGGTAGTGTACATACCACTTTTCGCTGGCTATCACGCAGAGAAAGGACAATGCCAGGAGACAGAAAGTAATGGCGAATTTACCCGCGTACCACAACATGCTGGTTTCAAAATATCCATTTTCAATAAAAAATTTTTGCAGCTGGCGGAATGCTTCTGTTGCTGGGTCCTCGTCTAGCTCGAAATCTCCTACTGGCTTTCTGTGCTTCAAGACGTCCCTTTCATGAAAACTATGAAACACTGCTGTGGCATCTCGGCCAATGAAATGTTTGATAATATCCCCACCTGGATGATGGGGGATGAATGTGGTGATGTCATACCATTTCCCATCGATGCCAATAAGTTTTCTTTCACCTTGGTCTTGGTGAGTCGAGGCTTTACGGTTGACCTGATTGTTGTTTTCACCCACTGATATTGTACGTTGAGATCGTGAGCGTGGTTTGTTGTCTGCCACCTCTGCAGACGTGGAGGAAGACATTTCCTGCTCTTGTAAAGTCATGGTAAATCTGAAGAAAAAATGATAAAAAGGATTTTTTATCATGAAATTTATTCTTTTGTCAATCAAGAAACTACTGTCCCTAAACTAGAATGCAGCCCACCCCTCCCCCTGAAAAACATGCACACACATGCACATGTACAATGTATATCCCATTATAGTCTCATCTGAGGGTCATTTTACTGACCAATACATTAATGAACCCATAGGGATTTCACAGCCAGGCATTGCAATCAAGTGTGTACTTCCTGACAGTTTAATACAGGTATTTTTATCTCTGCCAATTAAAGATTTTTTTCTATTTTTTTTATCTTTCAGCTGAAAATCACTGCAAGCTCAGGCTTTGCTTATATATATATATATATATATATATATATATATATATATATGTTCTGTTGCTGTTCTATTTCCTCCAATATTCCAATGCAAACATTTGCCATGAACTCTAAACTTAAATATTGACACTGTCTGGCCTTGTAATTAACTACAAATACACTGTTTGTATCGTAGTCAATTCCCATTTTATAAAATAGCACTGCAAACATCCTTTTAATTCACTTATAGAGAGAGAGGGTCAGCTTGAAAACCCACATGTGCGGGGTATGTAGCAACACAGTCACCGTTCCCACACATACAGAACTTCTGAATTCCAAATCAAATAGCTGGCAATTAAAAGCAAGCATGGATTACTGTAACAAATTACATGCACTCGATAAAGATCTATAAAGTGAGGCCATTTCATTGGGCAACAAAGAAACAATGACCATTAGCAATCAGTAGGAGTCCATTGTCTAATGAGATTGGGTTCTCACCATGCTTCAGGTTTAACCACAAACTGTTTTCTCTTTTATCTTTTTAAATTTAAGGTGAGAAAATTTGTTTACTAGTAGTGCCCAATAACATGTTACTAGCAATCTATAATACTTACTATAGCATATGATGTTCATTTTTTTTAAACCAAAATTTCTAAAACTTTTTCTTTTTGCCAAGTGCAGTCAAATCAAAAGATTATGTGTGAGATAATTCACTGTCACCCAAGCGTATATGCCAGAACACTTTGGGAGCCAGCAAGAGCATATATGGCATAATTCATGTGAGGGTGGCAGTGTATTATTTGACATACCTACTGACAGAGAGTAGTCACACTTTACTTCAAAACACCCTCAAACCTAATAAATGTATGTCACCATAGTCACAGAACCCCTCTAGGTATTTATATACAGATATAAACATGTATATAACCTAATATTTTACTTCAACTGAAAAAGCTCAACTGGTGGTGGTTGAAATAACTGCACTATAAATACATGATTCAAATCCTGTCTCTTATAATATTGATTTATGTATGATGCACCCCATAATACACTCCAAAAGCCTTGTAACTGTAATGAAACAAACACTAAATGAGTTAAAACAGTGTTTTCAATGCGTAGTGATAAGAGCCAGGCCCCAAGGTAATGAACGCTAGTTGCTATGGGTAACTAACAACAAAACGATGTCTAAAATAACTTTATTGGTTTAGGGGACAAAGCCGAGCGGGGTCAAGCAGATTTATCTTACACTCAGGCATCTAATAATAGGTAGTCGTGGGCACAATTGATTTGATCTCCTTACAAAACCCACAACTTTGGTTATCCAACACAACAAAACTCTTCCTTCATTTTGGATTTCTGAGCAAAGATAGTTCTTGATAGCATATAATTGAACCTCAGACAATTTTGATTTCACTAAGCGATAAACTATTATTACAGTAGTTCTTTTAAAGTCTTTGATTAAACCACCTTCAATTTCTTTAAAATTCAATAATTCAATAGTTCTTTTAAAGTCTTTGATTAAACCAGCTTCAATTTCTTTAAAATTCAATAATTTTGAAATTAGGCTAAAACAAGAATTAAGTCGTTTGGTTAAGCTGCCTGAGGTTAGACACGTCCGTCATGCGTTTTATCATTAATCAAGGTGGAAAAATACACGCACATGAACCAACATCATCATATCTACAATATCATACACCCCGAGTGTGAGAGAGAACACGTAACCCGCCTCCACTGTCAGTGCGACCCACTGATAACACAGGTGAGTCTCCAATGACCACAGAACCTCGGGGTCATTCCACAAGGATGACAGATAACAGGTTCTTTTAGGTCAGTAGGATCCTGAGCAGCACAGGTCATCCAAGGCCATCAATACATCTAATAAAAAGGTCACACTTAGGGGATGTCATACTATCTCATCACCCATAGGGTCCCATTAAGGGGGTGTGGCACTATCTCGTCAACTAATGCAGCATAGGATTTGTTTATTCCTGTTAAAAGGTCACATTCATCAGAGGGTGTGCCTCTGTATCATCACCAATGGTGACACTGCAGACAACTCTGGACAAATCATACATGTCTAACAAAAGAACTCATGAAGGGGGGGTGTGACACCAGCTCTAATTATTGTAAAGTGCCACCATTTTTGTGTGACAAGTCTATAGTTTTCTGTTTGGATAAAGTGGAGTGGAGCAACTTGAATAGAGAGAGACATGGTTGAGAAAGGCCTTAAGCACGTTTCTTTGGACCATGACTTACAATATTTAGTGGACCTCCACATACAATGTGTGTGTGTGCGTGTGTGCGTGCATGTGTGTGTGGTTGGGCATGTCTGTATATGTGTGTAGGTGTGTGTATGGAAGTGCACACCTGACAGCACATGGTAGTGTAACAATGGCACAGCTATCTCCATTACACACTGATTCTAGTCAGCTGAATGTGTGTACGTGTGTGCGTGCATGCATGTGTGCTTGTGCATGTGCAAATGTGTGTGTATTCACATCCTTTTTTCTGCAAGTCAAATGGTTATATACAATGAAATGGATAGAACAATGACCGAATCGGATAAAGTACATAAGTTCCTGACACTTAATTTAGTCTAACCAGAGAACTTGCTAATGATGATTGAAAGTGATCTGAATATAAAGTTGCCTTTACGTATGAGAACCCATCTCTGTCCTATCTACATATGTAAAATATACCAGGACATATGCAGGTATGAATATTAGAGAGCACATGTTAATTAAGCAAAACATTCTTTCCATATATCTCATGGTACTTCATAAGATGGCACTGTTAATGGATTAATGTTGATCGCTACACCTCTACAGCGAGAAATACACAATTGGTCAGAAAGATATAAGCCCAATAATGCTTATCATTCTAATGAAACCCATTTATCTGGACAGATTCACACTCAGCAGGACTAAGTTGGACCTAAAACTGCCACACATGAACTCATATATACATACATTATATCTTCACCATAAACCCAGGGTCTTATATCAGGATGGCATTGTGACCAAACAAATGACATTACAGTATCATTTACAAGTACTTAATTTAAATGTGCAACTGAAACGGAGATCTTGAGAATGGAAACCACAACCCGAGGTCATCTTCTGACATAGACTTAGGAGCTACTACAAGTAGTTCATGTCTACGCCCTTACATATATGTAAGCTTTATAAAAAATATGGTCTCACTCATATTTTTGGCCACTTCTCTAGCTATAATAACCCTACCCTTTTTAACAACCTATTTTCTTTTGAACAAAATTAAAAACACAACATCTTTAAACTTTTATTAATAACAAAACTAAATTTTTTCCCATAAAAGCATCTCTCATTCTATTTCAATTTTGGGTTACAAATGTATGATGTAATTCAGCCAATTTCTGGTTCAAATTAGACTGGGTGTAAACAGGCCCAACTTGCACTTTGCTGCCTACAAAACCAAACGTTTCATCTTTTATCATCCAATCAATTTTTAATAACTTGCCGCATACATTTTTTAGGGTAGATCATAAGTATCCATACACAAATGGCACTGACATTGTGAACTCCTGACCTAAATAAAACTCCAACCACCAACTTTATATATAGGCCTATACCATTTAGTTACATCTCAAAATTATAATTATTATTTTCCAATCAATTTTCTTGTTCATAAATATATTTTTGTCTGCTTCGATCCTCTTGACAAATCTTTAACCAAAACCAATTATTTTAACCCTGACAGTATGATATTTCCAACATTGCACACATGTTTAGAGAGTGGACTTGCTTAGAAATTTTACTGCTACGTGCACATGCATAACAGATGACACGTACTGCATCTGCGATTATGATATCCTATACCAACACAAATACTGGTTATCTATTTTACTCTTGCTTCCTGTCTAGACACTATAATGACACACTTTGAACAGCTAGCTGCATTGCTTCGTTCCTTTCCTCTAACCTTCCTTCCCTTTTTATGACTAGTAGTACTAGTACTATTACTGGTATTCCTGTCATTCAATTAGATTGTATGTGGTGACCTCAACTGAAGAATATTTGAGTTGCAAACTTTCAACTTTCAAAGGAGGGATACAGAAATATTTATTCATCAACAAGAAAACTTGTTGCAGATTTTGGTTAGATGCCTTTATGAAAATAATAATAATAATAATAAATAAATAAATAAAAATGAATGACCACATAAAATTCTTGTTACTGCTATTAGTTCACATTTAGAATGTCTTTGGTGATATGACCAGCCAAAATGAATGGTCTGGACCCCAGCCCCAACCCCCCCCCTCCCCCCCCCCCCACATCCACCTAGGCATATTTCCTACAACCTATTAATATTGCCCCACCAACAGACAAACTCCATATTTCACCAAACACTAGTATACTAACAATAAACCCCTAGCCTTTCTTTTGTGAAGAACTATGAAAATAGTTTGGCTGTAAGTTATCTGACTGAAATATGTAGGTCAATAAAACGTTGGAATTCCACACCGATGCACTCACAAAAAGGCAGGGGTTATTCAATCGGGAGTTATTTAATCATATTTGTGGTATATGCGGTATCTTTGGATAAAGAGGACCCTTCAACTTTTAACATAAAAGTGCAAGTGACACCTAGTAACAAAAAGGCACGTTACATTCTGAGATGTACTGTACTGTACTTCAGAAATTTTAAATTTTGTTCTTAAAACCAACACAAGTAATACTGTTTGTAACAGTATGTAATATATACAGCATTATATCAAAGATACAATTATTTAACTTACAGGTGTTTTAAGTCCCCACATGATATTCAGTGCTCTACATGAGATAGATTTTACAGACTTTGTAAATTATGATACAATAAAGTTACAATCTTATCTTGAAAATATGGCACATCCAGCTGCAATCTTTTAGATAGAAGAAGTGAAAGGGCTTGGCATTGTTTGATACTTCTAATATCTTTGAAAGTTTGTAACTCAAGTATTCTTCAGTTGAGGTCATAATATACAGCCTCAGCACATGGCACAAATACCAGTACTATTTCTAGTCATATCAGGAATAAGGAAGGTAAGAAGGAAGGAAGGAAGGTTGGAGAAAAGGAGAACAGCCATCAAACAGACCATAACGCTAGGCTCATAAAACACATATTACTAAATGGTGTTACCATTTTACCTCTAAACTAAGGCTTTACCCAGAGAGCCACCCAGCCGTCATTTGGACAGCAAATGGCCACAAAATATGGCCTATGTTTTCAAAGATGGGTGGATGGCTTAGGAAATCTTTGGGAAATGACAGGTTGCGGGCTTGACTTGCTTGGGTTGGACTCAATGGTGACGAAATTACACATTCACATACTGGATTCCCTGTACTCCAAACCCTGCAGAAACCCCTACTCTTTCTACATTTACATTCTTTTAAGCTTTTTGAAGCAAACATCATATCATTTTATTTTCATACACAAGGAAACCAAGTTGCAACTTTTCATCACACATAAACCAGTAGATTAACATAATGAGCTTTACCGTCTGACTCTTAGCTATGAAATAAACTGTTAACAGAATATTGTGAGGGAATAACAGTGAATAAAGAAGAGGTCAATGACAGTAACACCCTTGAACATAATCCTTTTAACCCGTTTGACCTTTTTATATGATGATACTCTAAGTTTAGCTTGCATGTACAAAAAATATCTTTTTAAAGGCATAGGGGGCATTTGGTTGACCCACTTTTTCCTTCATTCCTAACACTGCCTTTACCATCACAAACATTACATCAAAACACATTTTCAAGATTGATCTTTCTACCTACCAAAATAATGATAAATGTCCAAATGAGTGTCCAAAGAAACATGGTGTGACCATACACAGTGGTTAAAAAAAGATACATCATCATCCTCCCCCAACCCACCCACCCCTGCCATAAATTAATGCCATCCCTTTTCTTGTCAGTTAACAATCTTTATGCATACAATACAGGATGTCATTTTTTTTTGCAGGGTGAAAGCACCCTGAGTGTCAGAGGTCACTCACTGGTATTATTAAATCATCTCATGCTGATAACAGGGGAGTTTTCCGTTACCAAAGAAACGCAGGGTAGTTAGAGCCCATACTCTTTCTTAAGCAACAGGATTATATTACAAACTTTTGGGGGCTTGGCAGGTCAATATTCTGTACTGTTCTGTACTGTTTGACTGATACATTCTACTATATACAGCAAGCTAAGTAAAGACTGTCATTTTAGAAGTTTAGACGGACTCAGATAATGAAGATATTATCATTATTACTGGGCCATTCCACCCCTCCCCCCCCCCCAAAAAAAAAAAAAAGATGTAAATGTCAGCGTTTACTATACAGGTATATATATATATATATATATATATATATATATTTATATATATATATTTATATATATATATTTTTTTTTTT